CTAAATGTTGTCGTCACCAACAACAGGGGTTGGTTGATTCTGAATCACAGAAGCACGAACTTAAACACCAAGTTAAGTGCGTGTGTCGATCTGCTTGAGGGTAGGAAGGCTCTGCAGGAGGATCTGGATAGGCTGGAGCGCTGGGATGAGGTCAACTGTATGAAGTTCAATAAAGCCAAGTGATGGGTCCTGCACCTGGGGAGAAATAACCCCAAGCAGAGCTACAGGCTGGGAGATGAGTGGTTGGAAGCTGCCAGGCAGAGAAGGACCTGGGAGTGATGGTGGATAGTCGGCTGAATATGAGCCAGCAGTGTGCTCAGGTGGCCAAGAAGGCCAACGGCATCCTGGCTTGTATCAGAAACAGTGTGACCAGCAGGGCTAGGAGGTGATCGTCCCCTGTACTCCTCTGGTGAGGCCGCACCTCGAGTACTGTGTTCAGTTTTGGGCCCCTCGCTACAAGAAGGACATCGAGATGCTTGAGAGAGTCCAGAGAAGGGCGACGAAGCTGGTGAGGGGCCTGGAGAACAATCCTACGAGGAGTGGCTGAGGGAGCTGGGCTTGTTCAGCCTGGAGAAAAGGAGGCTCAGGGGCGACCTTATCACTCTCCCTAGATACCTTAAACGAGGCTGTAGCGGTGGGGATTGGTCTGTTCTCCCACGTGCCTGGTGACAGGACGAGGGGAATGGGCTTAAGTTGCCGGGGAGTTTAGGTTAGATGTTAGGAAGAACTTCTTTACTGAAAGGGTTGTTAGCACAGGCTGCCCAGGGAGGTGGTGGAGTCATCATCCCTGGAAGTCTTTAAAAGACGTTTAGATGAGCTTAGGGATATGGTTTAGTGGGGACTCTTAGTGTTAGGTCAGAGGTTGGACTCGATGATCTTGAGGTCTCTTCCAACCTAGAAATTCTGTAATTCTGTGATTCTGTGAAGTGGGAAGAGATGAAGTGGATGTCCAAAAGGCTGTGCTGGGAGCCCTTGGGCCCATGCATACAGGCCCAGCTGTGCCTCTGGTGCTGCACTGCAGGGGGGAAAAAGGCCTCCGGGAGCCTCTGGCAGGAAAGACCAGGAGAAAGTTGAGGTCATCCTCTACTTCTGGAGGGGCTGTTGAGGATTAGAAGCCCATATCATCCAAATGAAAAAGAAGAGTGATGGGCAGTCATGCCCAAGAGAGTTGAAGACCAGTGGGTGCAGATGGCTCCCACAGTGCTGTGCTGGCAGCACTATGGCCCCAGCTGAGACTCCCTGAGAGTTCTTCATAAGATGATTCACCAATATTCATCAATGGGATGAAGGAGAGATCTTCCCACAGCCTTGGCAACTGCCCCAGAGCTCTCAAGTCACTTTGACCTTGGTGCAGGATGCCCCTGGCACAACTATTTGTATGGAGATTGAAGAAAAGGCGAGTGACCTGGTCAGAAGAAGGCAAAGAACATGGGGAAAAAAGGCATGAGGGGCTTGCAAGAAGATGCTGCCCCTGAGACACAGGAAAAAATAGAAAAAACAGAGCGTGCTGCAGTATGCGAGAGGACAAAAATAACAGCGGGTCCTCAACAAAAGCAGCGGATGTAGCAGGGGCTGAGGCATGGCCGTCACTGATGAGAGACGCTCAGTGTGGGCCAGGCTCAGGCGGCCACAGCAAGCCCACAGCACAGGTCCCAGCTGCACTGCAAGCCTCTGTCCCACCATCCCCAGCTCACAGCAAAGCAGACACTTGAAGCAGACACTGCTCCCCAAAAGCAGTGCCCAAAAGATGCTGGGGCAGGCACCATGGGCAAGGCTGATCTCCTTCCTGGCCCTGCCGTCCTGCTGCTGGTGATCTGTGAGGTGGGGCATTGCTGGGTGTGGGGGCTGAGGGCTGGAGGGCTGCCTGCCTGAGGGGCAGGAGAGGGCCCTTGTTGGGCACAGGGGAGGATGGGGACAGTGATCTGCCGGTACAGTCAGTGCTTAACTGCAGGGCAGAGTTGTTTTGGGGAAGGCCAGGAGGTCACTGCCCCTCTGTGCGGGGCAGGCATGCAGAACTGCAGGACACGGTTGCGTCTGGGGAAGGATGGGATTGGGATTGCTTCCTCCAGCTACGATGCAGATCTGAGAAAGGGGCACACTTCTCCAGTACTAAAAGTTTGTCTGGAGCTTTTGTGTGAGACGTTCAGGATGCTGGATTCCTTAGAGATCCTGGGCACTCATACGGGAATATAAAGCACATCCAGACCAGGCCTTGGGACTCGGTGCCAAGTGTGCAGATGAAGCAAATTGCAATTGGAAATGTAGCGGGTGAGAAGTCCCCTGTTCAGGCAGGACCTGAGATCAATTGGGATGTGAGCAGGGAGGTGGGGGTGAGCTGGTTCTCTGCCCCTCTAAGGCAAAGCCTCTCTGCCCCATGCTGCAGGTGCTGGAGTGACCACCCAGGACATCTGCAGCTCTCCAGGATTGCAGGAGCATGGAGGTGGTCCCCAAAAATGAACGTGTTCCCTGGGGAAGGAGGTGGGAAGAGAGAAGGGGATTATTCCCTCACAGTTCCCCCCTGGAAAAGCCCCAGGAGAGCAGATTCTTCCAGACTTGGCATGCAGTTGGTTTTGCCACCCAGCAATCACTAACGCTTGCCTGGGGAATCCCTCTGCCTTCTCTCCAGGTAACGACCAGACTCCAGTCCTGTACCTCAACGATTCCAGTGCCAAGGAAGGGGGCAATAATTCTCTTTCAGTGTGCCATTGATTGGCAGTTTCCTGCTACGCGAGTTGTCTTCTGCAAGAATGGGCTGGAGGAGTTCAGCCTGAAAGCCCAGCAGGGAAAGGTCATCTATGCTCTGGTCCTGAACATCACCTCCAGAAGTGCTGGGACGTACACATGTGGGTACCAGCAGAGGAACGAGAGCAACTGGGTGAGGAACTCTGCTCTCAGTGCTCCCCAGACCTTGTCTGTACCAGGTGATGACACAGCACCAGGGTGGTGAGGGTAAAAGGTTTCAGAAAACTGCTGAGGCTGGAGCTGTGTGCTGCAGCAGGCAGGGCATGGACTGGGTGTGGTTCCCCCTCAGGAGTGTTCCCTCTCTTCAGAGGCAGCCCCTACAGAGGGAAAGCTGCTATCATGGGCAGTCTCCATCCCTGCAGCAGCAGCTCGGTTGAGGCATGGGGCTGTGCAGTTCCCATGCTGAGAGAGCAAGAGCTGGGGATGTTGATGGACTCTGGGTTGAGCCCAGGATGTTCCAACATCTGCCCTGTATTGATGAGCCTATGGCAGGGGAAGTGTGTGTGTGATTGTCATGAGACAGGCTATAGCCTGTACATCAGCAACAGTGTGGGATGGTTCCAGAAGGGAGAGCACAGTGGTGCTGGTTTGAGACACAGAAAGTGCCTGCTCAGCAAGAACAAACAGGAAGAAAAAGGACTCGGGTGTGGCGGTGTGCCAGGTCTTGGCCCCACTAAGAAAAACCCCTTTTGCCTCAAGGTGCAGGTGCTGGTGAGACCATCACTGATATCCAGAGCTCCACAGGTGAGGACAAGTGTTATGGTATGCCACCTTCATGGGCACGTCCTGCTCCCTGCCTTTCCCCATCACACCCCGCTGCCCTCGCACCCTCTCTCCCCTGGCTCCACATGCCCGGATCCCAACACAACCGTCCCACAGGCACGGTGCTGGGCAGTGGCGGCCGTCGGCCTTGTCCCTCCTGGCTGCCAGGCAGCTGGTTTGCCATCAGGAAAGGTGAGGGAGTGGGGGAAAGTTGGGGGAAAGGCTGAGGCCATGGGGGTCCTGCTGCGGGGGCTAGTGCAGCAAGGAAAGGCGGTGGGGGGGAACCTGGGGTGTGCACAGCTGGGGCAGACTGGTGCACTGGGGTGCTCGATGGCTGTGGGCAAGCCCAGCTGGGGGAGGCTGCTGACGGGAGCTGGGGACCCTCAGCCTTCGTCCCCCAAGCCCCGAGATGGGAGCCAGGGCTGGGCTGCACTTGGCCTGTGCACCTCAGCCCCTGTTTTCTTGCAGGTGCGTGCAGAGGGAGATGCCCAGGTGAGCACCAAGGGCTTCTGGCTGGGGTTGTTGGAGGTTGTGGGGGGCATGGCAGGGCAGTGGGGTGCTGCATGGCCAAGGGTAGATTTGTCCTTCTGTTGTGACTGCATTTCCTGTGCAGAAGGCATGGGGAGGAGTGGCTTGCTGTGGGGTGGACTTCAGCTGAATCCTGTAAGGATTATTGCATCATCCATGGGAATGGCCCATATGGCCCTGTGCTTCTTTGTGGCAGTGGTGCTGCAAGACCTTCAGGACATTTTTTCTCTCCTCCCTCTGTTCGTCTCCATGGTGCTGGTAGTGCTCAAGACTCTTTCTGAAACCCCAGCCATTTCGGTAAGTGCCAGTCCCTTCTTCACCCTTCTCCTCTAGGCACTGTGTGAAGTGCTGATGCCTTTGCATGGCAAGCCGTAACCATGGGGACAACGGTGGTGGGGAATGGGGAAGCCCTGCCTGCTGCGTGTGGCTGGACACTAACTCAGGTTCTCCCCTCCAGATGCCAATGTGGATGAGATGGGCAGAGTGAAGGTGTGTTCAGCCCCCAGCCCAGCAGTGATGGCTGCAAGAGGGCAGGCTGGTTGGAGAGCAAAATGGAAGCCAAGAAGTGCATCCGATGGCAGGAGCCTGGGAGCTTTGCGTGGCTGTGCTCTGGCTGAACTCCCCCTCCTTCCATGCTCCCAGACGCATTTCCCCATGGTGGGGGCAAGAGCAAGGCCACTCCTTGTTCTCCCTTGTGTTTTGCAGCTCTCTCAATCCAACTGCTCTCAACACCCACTGCATGCCAAAAGCTGAGCAAGTGAGAGGCGATGCAGCTGGTTCTCTGAGAGAGGCAGAGAGCACTGGGGAAAGCCGTGCTGATCTGCGAGCTCTGAATAAAGCCACCCCAAACAAGAAGCAGCTGGTGTAGTTCTTCTCGGCAAGGTCTGTCTGCAAAGCTGTTCACATCCCTTCAGATCGACACCACCACCCTTTGTGTCTCGTGTCTGTCTGTCTGCTCCGTCCCATTCCATGTGTGGCTGCATGAGACGGAGGTGGCACTCAGGAACACAAAGTCAGAGATGTGTATTGACATCAACGCAAAACCACATCTGCAGTGCACTCACCGATTGACACACACATTCGAGGACATCCCTGCAGTGATATCTGTCCATCTAGGTCAAAAATGGACATCTCCATGGATGGGTAGAATAACATCCCCATGGCATTATAATGCAACTTAGGTGTACACGTCATCCACTGAGCCAGCAAAAGGTTTTCTTTCATTCAGAAAAAATCAATACGCTCACAGGAAGATTTGGTATAGCTCATATACTTTAGAAGTATTAATGTATTGTAGATGGAGGTGTGAGTCCTACATCGTCTTGGCTAGACACTCACAGCCCTTCCCTGTGACAACAAACCCCTGAGAAGACAAAAGTGCACCCAAAGTCCTCTGCAGGAGAGCAAAGGCAGCCGTGGACAAGGCTCCTGTGCCCTTGCCCTGTGACAGCACTATCGGGTCTGGGTGCTGGGTCACCGTGGCATATGTCGTGGTGTTTCTCATTTGCTGCGCGGGACGAGGCTTTAGGGAGAAAAGAAACCCTGTTACTTCAGCTGCTGACTGTGAGCCCTGCACAACGAGTGTGCACCAGGCTGCAGAAGTGCAGAAAGGAGCTGTGCACAGCTGTGCCACGACTCACCCTGTCCCGTTGAACGTGGGCGATGGTGGAGTCTGTGGGGGCAAAAAAAAAACACAACATGATCCCTTGCTGCCTGTTGGTGGAGGGCTGAAATTCACACTGACCTTGGTCAGCAGCTGCCTGTGGTCAGATCTCAAAGCCTGGCCACATTTCGTCTCCCATCACCCTGAACTGGGATGAAGATTAAGCAGCAGCGATGGAGCAGAGATGCTGAGGTTTTGGTGTATTTCCAGCTTTCTGTGGAATCTCCTCTCTTTGCACAGCCAGCACATCTTGCGAGCTGCTCTGTGCAAGCGTGGGTAAACAAGGTTGTGCTGCACCATGAGCGAGGTTGCAAGTAGGGTGCGGATATATCTATAGCCTGTCACCCAACCACAACATCCTCCCTTGGCTGCTGCCTGTGGTTTCAGAGCAAACTATAAAATGTTTTCCCCACAAACACAAGGAAAGAGAGCCGCATCTTTCATTGCTCCTCTGTCCTTTCAACTACATGAAAACTGAAATCACTTTGAAGTAAACTGAAGAAAGGACAAAAGCAGACGTTGAAGTGGGGCAACTGCAGCCTGGGTCTGGAGCATGTGTGGAAGGACCGCCCAGCAAAGGGGCTTTGTCCCATGGAGAACTGGGATGCTGCCATGTCCCTTGTGCAGCCAGCAGCTGCGCTGTGCATGCAAGGAAGAAGCAGGACATGAGGTTGCTGGAGAGAAACCTGGCCTTGATGAACGGGCAGGGATTTTGTTATTCCCAGTGGGAAATGAAGTGGTAGGATTCCATGAGGACTTGCAGAAGATTCTCATGGGGAGAGGGGCGTGTGGCTTCCCCCAAGGGAGGAGGTAGTACTCACACTGGATGTCACCATAGTTGGTGTCTTCCGTCTGTGGGCTGTCAACGTGCTGCTGCCTGGAGAGGAATGGAATGGTTCTGGGATGTGCATGTGCTGAGGAGGGATCTAGAGGCTATGCCCTTTGGAGTTGCTTTCCTGCATTTGTCATTGAACTGGAGGGCAGCCAAAGACAAGCCCCATCCTTCCTGACTTCTGCACAGGAGATGCCCCTGAACAAGGAGCACCCCAGGGACCTTTCATTCCCCCAGCTCCCTCCCGCATACCCCACAGCCAGCAGCCCTTGGTGCTCACCTTGGGCATCTCCCTCTGCACGCACCTGCAAGAAGAACAGGGGCTGAGGTGCACAGGCCAAGGTGCTGCCCAGCCCTGGCTCCCATCTCGGGGCTGGGGGATGAAGGCTGAAGCTCCCCAGCTCCCTCAGCAGCCTCTCCAGATGGGCTGCCCACAGCCATCACCCCCAGGCACCGTCTGCCCCAGCTGTGCACCCCCAGGTTCCCCCCAACACCTTTCCCATTACACCAGCCCCGCAGCAGGACCCCCACGGCCTCAGCCTTTCTCCCTCCTTCCCCTACTCCCTCACGTTTCCTGATGGCAAACCAGCTGCCTGCAGCCAGGAGGACGAGGCCGACGGCCGCCACTGCCAGCACTGTGCCTGTGGGGAGGGTGTGCAGGATCCGGGGATATGCGGCTGGGGGAGAGATGGTGTGAGGGCAGCAGGGTGTGATGGGGAGAGGCAGGGAGCAGGACGTGCCTGTGCAGATGACACACCCTCATCCTCCTCCTCACCTGCGTGGCTGTGGATATCAGTGATGGTCTCACCAGCACCTTCACCGTGGGGTAAAAGGGCTTTTTCTTAATGGGGCCAAGACCTCGCACACCGCCACACCCGAGTCCTTTTTCTTCCTATTTGTTCTTGCTGAGCAGGCACCTTTCTGTGTCTCAAACCAGCACCACTGTGCTCTCCCTTCTGGAACAATCCCACACTGTTGCTGATGTACAGGCTATAGCCTGTCTCATGACAATCACACCGCTTCCCCTGCCATAGGCTCATCAATGTACAGGGCAGATCTTGGAACATCCCAGGCTCTACCCAGGGTCCATCAACATCCCCAGCTCTTGCTCTTTCTGCATGGGCACTTCACAGCCCCATTCCTCAGCCAAGGTGCTGCTGCCGGGATGGGGACAGCCCTTGAGAGCAGCTTTCTCTCTGTAGGGGCTGCCTCTGAAGAGAGGGAACACTCCCGAGGGGGAACCACCCCAGAGCCATGCCCTGCCTACTGCAGCACACAGCTCCAGCCCCAGCAGTTTTCTAAAATCTTCTACCCTCACCACCCTGGGGCTGTGTCTCACCTGCCACAGACAAGGTCCGGGGAGCACTGAGAGCAGAGTTCTTCACGTTGTTTTCCTTGTTCTTTTGCTGGTACCCACACGTGTACGTCCCAGCACTTCTGGAGGTGATGTTCAGGACCAGAGCGTAGATGAGCCTGCCCTGCTGGGCTTTCAGGCTGAACTCCTCCAGCCCATTCTTGCAGAAGACAACTCGTGTAGCAGGAAACTGCCAATCAATGACACAATGAACCAAAAGTGTTTCCCCTTCTCGGGCACTGGAACTGTTGAGGTACAGGACTGGAGTCTGGTCGTTACCTGGAGAGAAGGCAGAGGGATTACCCAGGCAATCGTTAGTGATTGCTGGGTGGCAAAACCAACTGCATGCCAAGGCTGGAAGAATCTGCTCTCCTGGGGCTTATAGGGGGAACTGTGAGGGAATAATCCCCTTCTCTCTTCCCATCTATTTCCACAGGACAATGTCATTTTCGTGACCCACCTCCATGCTCCCGAAATCCTGGAGAGCTGCAGATGTCCTGGGTGGTCACGCCAGTACCTGCAGCATGGGGCAGAGAGAGCTTTGCTTAGAGGGGTCATGACCTCCCGATTTCCCTAAAAGAACGATGCCCCACAGTGCTGCACACCTGCCCTGCACAAACTGTCCCAATCCTCTCCTGTGCCCACCACGGGCCTGTTCTACCCCCAGCAGCAGCCCTCCAGCCCTCAGCCCCCACACCCAGCAATGCCCCAACTCACAGAGCACCAGCAGCAGGACGGCAGGGCCAGAAGGAGACAGCCTTGCCCATGGCGCCTGCCCCAGCATCTTTTGGGGCGCTGCTTTTGGGGAGCAGCGTCTGCTTCAGGTGTCTGCTTTGCTGTGAGCTGGGGATGGTGGGGCAGAGGCTTGCAGTGCAGCTGGGACCTGTGCTGTGGGCTTTCTGAGGCCGCCTGAGCCTTGCCCACAGCCAGAGGCTCTCATCAATGTGTAACCTGTCTCAGCCCCTGCTACATCCGCTGCCTTTTTTGAGCCCCCGCTGTTATTTCTGTCCTCTCACACACCGCAACTCTTGCTGTTTTTACATATATCTCAAGGGTAGTATTCTCCTTACAAAGACCTCATGCCTCTTTTCCTATTGCCAGATTTGGCCCATAGCTTTGCAGATCTCCATCAGGCTAGCAATCATCTACAGCCTGTCCAAAATCCATTTCTATCCCTTCCACACCCGTGTGGGCACATCACTGCTGCATCCCCTGCCCATGCTCAGCCTCTGTACTCTTGTTGCTTGTGCAATGCTGTGCAGCCTGAGTCCCTCTGCCAGCCAGTGGTACTATTATCATCATTACTGTTATTATTGTTGTTGTAATAAATGGCTCAGTCTTCAAAAGAGGACTATAATCACAGTTTACAATTTATTAAAGGAATAGAGGTAAGCAAACAGCGCTGGGTGCGCCGGCAGTCTCTGCTCCACCAAGACACACACCAGTTACATCAAGCAGCTGATTTTTATGCTCTAGGCTAATACATATTCATTACTACTTCTGAAAAACCAGGGTTATTATAATTAGTTTCCGGAATCCAAACCCTCCAGCTGGAGCATGCGTATCAGTCTCTGGTGGTCCGTCTGGTGGTCTCTCATGCTGAAGGCTCCTAGTCTTCCTCCCTCTTGTCCTTCTCCTTTGTCCATCTTGGCTGAATGTCAGAGACCTGTGCAGCGTCCCCTGCAAGCTTTGTCTTTTAGTGGTCCTTCGGCTTTCCCCTTCTCCTTATTCTCCTGGCCAGTTATCATAGACTTGCAAAGTATCCCATGCAATAGTCATAATAGGTAGCAGTTATTCTAACCCCCCCCCTCCCCCGAGATATCAGAAACTTCAAGGAAAAGCCTACAAATACATTTCCCTTCAAGCTCTCTATTGACATGAATTGCTGGACCATTCCTTTGCAAGATAAAAGTACTCTACACATTAACCACTCTGTTTTTCTTAGACTTTTGGTTATATAAGTGTATGTAAGACAGAAGGTCACATTCATCATACCATGCGGCCCTAGCATTGTTCCATATTGACACGAATCAGATGAACATCTCTGTGGGGTGCTGCCCCACTGCTACAAGCCCTGCTACAACCCCATTTGTTGTAGTCCTGCTAAAACAAATTTGTGCCTGTTGCACCAGTCACGGAGCCAAGCATTTATGGACCAGATCTTTCTATTCCATCCAATGTCACCACCCCAGAATGGATGGAGGGAAGAGAAAGGGACTTGTGCTCCAGACTCTTTCACCAACCATCCCAAAGCCTTGGAAGCTTTATCCATTCCCTCAGACTATAGGACGCAATTTCCTCGACAGCTGTCTGCAATATCGTCAGTAGATAGTATTATGTGAGGCACAGCAGGCTGATGAGTGTCCTGGTGATATCTCTGATCCAGCCTCTGATGGACCACAGACTTCCCTGGGAATGAAGGGAATGCTCCGTGTCCTCATGGCCAGTCCCCAGTCAGTTTGGGTGTTCTCCTTTCAGTGCTCCTTGGACCCTGTCTGTGCCAGGTGAGACACGACTCTTCATCAGGGCTGTGGGGGCAGTGGGATGTGGACATTGCAGAAGCTAGGAGCTGTGTGCTTCATCATACAGGGCATGGCTCAGGTGTGATTCCCCCTCAGAAGTGTTCCCCTACTCCACAGGAGACCCTGGATGGAGAAATGAATTACAGAATCACAGAATCACAGAATTTCTAGGTTGGAAGAGACCTCAAGATCATCGAGTCCAACCTCTAACCTAACACTAACAGTCCCCACTAAACCATATCCCTAAGCTCTACATCTAAACGTCTTTTAAAGACTTCCAGGTGACTCTACCACTTCCCTGGGAAGCCTGTTCCAATGCCTAAAAACCCTTTCAGTAAAGGAGTTCTTCCTAACGTCTAACCTAAAACTCCCCTGGCGCAACTTAAGCCCATTCCCCCTCGTCCTGTCACCAGGCACATGGGAGAACAGGCCAACCCCCACATCACTACAGCCTCGTTTAAGGTATCTGTAGAGAGTGATAAGGTCGCCCCTGAGCCTCCTCTTCTCCAGGCTGAACAAACCCAGCTCCCTCAGCCGCTCCTTGTAGGACTTGTTCTCCAGGCCCCTCACCAGCTTCGTCGCCCTTCTCTGGACTCGCTCAAGCACCTCGATGTCCTTGTTGTAGCGAGGGGCCCAAAACTGAACACAGTACTCGAGGTGCGGCCTCACCAGAGCCGAGTACAGGGGGACGATCACTTCCCTAGCCCTGCTGGCCACACTATTTCTGATACAAGCCAGGATGCCATTGGCCTTCTTGGCCACCTGAGCACACTGCTGGCTCATATTCAGACGACTGTCCACCATCACTCTCAGGTCCTTCTCTGCCTGGCAGCTTTCCAACCACTCATCTCCCAGCCTGTAGCTCTGCTTGGGGTTATTGCGCCCCAGATGCAGGACGCGGCACTTGGCCTTGTTGAAATTCATGCAGTTGACCTCAGCCCATCGGTGCAGCCTATCCAGATCCTCCTGCAGAGCCTTCCTACCCTCAAGCAGATCGACACACGCACCTAACTTGGTGTCATCTGCAAACTTACTGAGGGTGCACTCAATGCCCTCGTCCAGATCATTGATGAAGATGTTAAAGAGGACCGGCCCTAGCACCGAGCCCTGGGGGACACCACTAGTGACTGGCCTCCAACTGGACTTGACTCCGTTTACCACAACTCTTTGGGCCCGGCTATCCAGCCAGTTTCTAACCCAACGAAACGTGCGCCAGTCCAAGCCATGAGCAGCCAGTTTCTTGAGGAGAATGCTGTGGGAGACGGTGTCAAAAGCCTTGCTGAAGTCAAGGTAGACGACATTCCACGGCCTTTCCCTTGTCCACCCAGCACGTCACTTTGTCATAGAAGGAGATCAGGTTCGTCAAGCAGGACCTGCCTTCCATAAACCCATGCTGACTGGGCCTGATCGCCTTCTTACCCTTCAAGTGCCGCATGATGACTCCCAAGAGGATCTGCTCCATGAGCTTCCCGTGGCACTGAGGTCAAACTGACAGGCCTGTAGTTCCCCGGGTCAGCCCTCCGGCCCTTCTTGTAGATGGGCGTCACATTTGCTAGCCGCCAGTCAGCTGGGACCTCACCCAATAGCCAGGACTGCTGATAAATGATGGATAGTGGTTTGGCCAGCTCCTCTGCCAGTTCTCTCAGTACCCTTGGGTGGATCCCATCCGGCCCCATCGACTTGTGCATATCCAAGTGCCGTAGCAGGTCACCAACCAGTTCTTCGTAGATGGTGAGGGCCACATCCTGCTCCCCATCCCCTTCCACCAGCTCAGGGTGCTGGGTATCCAGAGAACAACCGGTATTGCCGCTAAAGACTGAGGTGAAGAAGGCATTGAGCACCTCTGCCTTTTCCTCATCTCTTGTAACTAAGTTTCCCCCCACATCCAGTAAAGGCTGGAGATTCTCCTTAGTCCTCCTTTTTGTGCTGATGTGTTTATAAAAGCGTTTTTTGTTATCTTTAACGGCAGATAAAGATCTTTAACTGCCTCAAGAGTTCCCCTGTAGCTGCAGTAGCACCTCTGCTGAGACATGGGGCTCTGCAGTGCCCATGTAAAAAAAGCAAGAGTTGGGGATATCAGTAGGCCCTGGACTGTGCCAGTACTGCTCCAAGCTCTCCATCATACCTTTACTAACCTATGTCAGGGAACTGAGAAGGGCTTGGTTGTTAATGCTCACCATGTACACAAGGAAGTAAGACACGAGCTCAGGGTCTGCTCAGCATCTGGGATTGTCCCAGCAACGAGCTCCAGAAACTCACAGCATGTTCATGTCTCTCACAGGCAGCAGCCCCTCACACAAGGCCCAGCTCCCTTCCAGAGGTGAGACATTGCTCATCAGCCCTTCCCAGCACAGCCGTCCTCCAAGGCTTGCCTTGGCCACACTGTGTTCCTCCTCTCTCCAAGGGTCAGCCATGCCCCTGGAGGTCTGGATCCTGTGCTCTGCCCTCAGCCTGCTCCTGCTGCTGTCTGCCCCCATCATCACCCTACCCCTGGAGAGATGCAGCCATGGTGCCCATGAGGCCAGACAGCCTGGAGACTTCCCTGTCCCCATGGAGCTCCGATGTCCCCCTGGTCTCCATGCTGTCCCCAGCCTGCTCCCCCATGCTCAGAGCATGACCCCCACCATGGCCTGGCTCCCACTGCCTTTGGTCTCAAGGCAGCTGTGGCAGCATGCCCAAGGGATGTGCTGCCACTGCTCTGCTTCCCTTGGCTCAGCACGTTCCTTTGAGGAAGGGAATTGAGAGAGCAGCGTGGGGGAGCTCAGGTGCCTTCAGGACGAAGCCTCTGCCTTTCCTGGTTGTTGTGTGGTCACATGAGGGTCAAAGTGTGCGTGCAGATGGCTCCAACAGTGCTGTGCTGGCAGCACTATGGCCCCAGCTGAGACTCCCTGAGAGTTCTTCATCAGCTGATTCACCAACGGGATGAAGGAGAAATCTGCCCACAGCCTTGGCAGCTGCCCCAGAGCTCTGGCGTCACTTTGGCCTTGGTGCAGGATTCCCCTGATGCCATCATTTGTCTAGACATTGAAGAGAAGCAGACTGATGTGGTCAGACGAGGGCAAATCCGAGTGGGGATGAGGGGCAGGAGCTCTTTACAGGGACAATGTTGCCCCTGAGATACAAGTAAAACTAGCGTGTGCTGCAGTGTGTGAGAGGAGAGAAAAAACAGTGGGGGCTCAACAAAAGCAGCGGATGTAGCAGGTTCTTAGGCAAGGTCCCCACTGATGAGAGCCTCTGGCTGTGGGCCAGGCTCAGGTGGCCACAGAAAGCTAACAGCACAGGTCCCAGCTGAACCGCAAGCCTCTGCCCCACCGTCCCCAGTTCAGAGCAAAGCAGAAACTTGAAGAAGACGCTGCTCCCCAAAAGCAGTGCCCCAAAAGATGCTGGGGCAGGCGCCATGGGCAAGGCTGTCTCCTTCTGGCCATGCCATCCTGCTGCTGGCACTCTGTGAGTTGGGGCATTGCTGGGTGTGGGGGCTGAGAGCTGGAGGGCTGCTGCTGGGGGCAGGATAGGCCAGTAGTGGGCACAGGGGAGGATGGGGACAGTGTGTGTGGGGCAGGTGTGCAGTATTGAGGGGCATCGTTGCTCTGGGCAAGGCATGATGGGGATGGCTTCCTCCAAGTATGATACAGATCTGAGCAAGCGGCACACTTCTCCAGCACCATAAATTTTTCTAGAGTATTGCTCTGAGACTCTAGGAGCGCTGAGGTCTTTACAGAGCTATGGGACTTACCTAGAAGATGAAATCTCCACAAGATGGAATTGGGATTGGCATTGTTCAAGACGTTATTATGCTGTATCAAGAGATACAGCATGAAAACACGCAGATGTGATGATGTGTGCTTCGCAGTGAGGTATTAGTCAGGGGGAATGTGGGAGTACGAAAATCTGGATGAGCCTGGACTCCGTCCCTCTCAGCAAATGCCTCTCTGCCCCCAGGTACAGCTGCCAGCATGAGCTCCCAGGACATCTGCAGCTCCCCAGGTACTCGTGAGTCCTTCCCTCCCAGACCCAGGGCACTTGGAAGCCCAACCACTGTGAGCTCTGCTCTATGGCAGCCCTTCACTGCTGTGTGTCCTCCAGGGGATCTCCAAGCTCCTGCTCTCCAAATGAACTCAAATTCTGCTCAGCCAGGTAAAAGAGTTGTTCCCCAGTGTATTCTCCCTGTGGTGTCACCTGTAAGAAAAATCATTTTCTGCAAGGATGGGAAGGAGGTGTACAGTCTGAAAGCCCATCAAGGGCAGCTGAACTACTCCGTGGTCCTGAATATCACGTCAAGAAGCGCAGGAATATATACCTGTGGGTACCAGGAGTGGAATGAGATGAAACAGAGGAGGAGCTCTGCCCTCAGTGCTGGCCGCATCCTGGATGTCCCTGGTGAGAAACGGGCTGGAGGGGTGAGAAGGGATGGAGGCACTTGCCACCACATGGCTGTGCTGAGGCTGGAGCTGTGTGCTGCAGCAGGCTCTGGGGTGGTTCCCCCATGGGAGTGTTCCCTCTCCTCCAAGGCAGCCCCTAGACAGAGAGAGCTGCTCTCAAGGGGTTCCCCTGTCCCTGCAGCATCACCTCTGCTGCAGAGATGGAGCTCTGCAGAGCCCATTCAGAGAGAGCAAGGGCTGGGGATGTGGATGAATGTTGGGTTGAGCCAGGGATGCTCCAAGGTCTGCCCTGTGCATTGATGAGCCTATGGCAGGGCAAGTGGGATGACTGTCATGAGCTGGGCAAGGACACAGCAGGGAGGACACGGCAAGGACCCAGCAATAGGGACATGGGCACAAGCGTGTGGGTGCCCCAGCTCTCACTCCCTCTAAACAAAACCCACTGTGCCCCAAGTTGCAGGTGCTGGCGTAACCACCCAGGGCATCTGCAGCTCCCCAGGTGAGGTTGAGAGTGGGGATGGGTGACTGAAGAGAGGTGTGTGTGGGGTGGTGATGGCAAGGGAGAGGGAATTTGTTCTCTGGGCGAGAGCTCCTGGGAAGGAATCATTTCTCTGCGTGGAACACAAAGCATTTTGGTGCAATTCTGTGGTCCCCAGTACAAGAGGGGCATAGAACTACTGGAGAGAGTCCAGAGGAAGGCTGCAAAGATGATCAGAGGACCGGAGCCAAGAGCGCTGAGCCTTTTTAACCTGGAAAAGAGGAGACTGAGGGGAGACCTCATCCATGTCTATAAATATCTGAGGGGAGGGAGTTGAGAGAATGGTGCTGGTCTCTTTTCAGTTGTGCCCAGGGAAAGGGTGAGAGGCAACAGGCCCAAATGGGAGCACAGAAAGTTCCATCTGAATATGAGGGGCATTTCTTTACTGGGAGGGTGACAGAGCACTGGAACAGGCTGCCCAGAGATGCTGTGGAGTCTCCTCTGCAGATATTCCAAATCCACCTGGATGCCATTCTGTGCAGTCTGTCCTAGCTGATCCTGCTCTCCAAAAGGCTGGACTCCATGACATTCAGAGGTTCCTTCCAACCTTGGCCATTCTGTGATTGTGTGATCCTCTAGCCCCCAGAATCACAGAGAGATGAGAGTGGTGGTGCCATATTTAATGGGCAGGCACACCTTGGCCAAGCTATTCTTAACCACTCACGAGGGAATTTAGACAGCTGATCCATGGGGGCCCAGGTTGCCACAAAAGCCACAGGCACTTTTATTCGTTCCCTGGGGATGTTGCTGGCTGTCGATGGGGGATGTGGCCATGGGGCTGAGGCTCATTCTGGGAAGGATCTGGATGCACTGTAGACACTAAGCCTGTCCTTTTGTCGTGCCAGGCAATGTGGTGAGTTCCCCAGCAAGTCCACCACCCACAGGTGAGAGATTCCCTCCTATACCCCCAGAAACCCGAGCATGGGGAGTGGGAGTGCTGTGCTGCCTTCCCCAGGGCATGGGGACAAGCAGGAGCTTTACCAGGCAGGAGTTGTGACAGCTGCACGGGTGTGTCCTGCTCCCTGCCTCTCTCCATCACACCCCGCTGCCTTCAGACCTTCTCTCCCCCTGCTCCACATGCATGGATCCCTCACACTCTCCCCAAAAGCACAGTGTTGGCAGTGGCGGCCGTCGGCCTCGTCCTCCTGTCTACAGGCAGCTGGTTTGCCATCAGGAAAGGTGAGGGAGTGGCGAAAAAAGGGGGGAAAAGCTGACGCCGTGGGGGTCCAGCTGCGGGGCTGGTGCAGAGACAAAAGAGGTGGTGCGAACCTCGGGGTGTGCAGCTGCGGCAGACAGTGCCTGGGGGTGATGGCTGTGAGAAGCCCATCTGGGGAGGCTGCTGAGGGAGCTGGGGAGCTTCAGCCTTCGTTCCCCAGCCCCGAGATGGGAGCCAGGGCTGGGCTGCACCTTGGCCTGTGCACCTCAGCCCCTGTTCTTCTTGCAGGTGTCTGCAGAGGGAGATGCCCAAGGTGAACACCAAGGGCTCCTGGTTGTGGGGTTTGCTGGAGGGAGTTGGGTGCATGGCGGGGCCCTGGGGTGCTCCTTGGCGAGGGACAGTGTTCTCTGTGTGTGTGTGTGGCTGCATTCCCTGTGCTGGAGGCAGGGAGGATGGGGCTTGCTATTTGCTGCACTCCAGTTCACCACATGACGTAGGAAAGCATGACCCAAGTGTGTTTCTCATGTGGCAACCTCACCGCAAACACACACCCAACAACCATTCCATTCCTCTCCAGGCAGCAGCACGTTGACAGCCCACAGATGGAAACCACAGACCATGGCGAAGTCACATGTGAGTACTACCTCCTCCCTTGGCGGAAGCCATGCACCCGTCTCAGGTGGAATCCCACCCCTTCATTTCCCACTGGGACATACAGAATCCCTGCCTGTTCATCAAGACCAGGTTTCTCTCCAGCACCTCACGTCGTCCTTCTTCCTTGCATGCAGAGTGCGGCTGCTGCCTGCACAAGGGACATGGCAGCATCCCAGTGCTCCCAGGGACAAAGCCCATTTGCTTGGGGGGTTCCTTCCACACCAGCTCCGGCCTCAGGCTGCATTTCCCCTGCTTCAGCCTCTGCTTTTGTCCTTTCTTCAGTTTCTCTTCAGTGTCATTTCTGCTTCAAGAACTACACAAAGCACATCACAGCAACAAAAGCTGTCGCTCTGTTTCCTTGCACTGCTGGGGAAAACATTTTATAGCTCATTCTGAAACCACAGGCAGCAGCCAGGGGAGGATGTTGTGGTCGGGCGATAGGCTACAGATATATCCCCACCCTACGTGCACTTAGCACAAGTTGCAGCACAACCTTGTTTACCCACGCCTGTACAGAGCATTTTGCAAGGTGTGCTGGCTGTGCAAAGAGAGGCGATGCCACAGAATGGTGGAAATACACCAAAACCTCAGCATCTTTGTTCCACTGCTGCTTAATTCAAGTCCCAGATCAGGGTGATGGGAGAGGAAATGTGGTCACGCGTTGAGATCTGACCTCAGGCAGCTGATGTCCAAAGCTCGCGGGGGTTTACCCCACTCCAATCAGCAAGGGATCATCGAGTGTTTTTTCCCCACAGACTCCACCATTGCCCATGTTCGACGAGACAGGGTGAGTCGTGGCACAGCTGTGCACAGCTCCTTTCTGCACTCCTGCAGCCTGGTGCCCGCTCATTGTGCAGGGCTCACAGTCAGCAGCTGAAGTAACAGGGTTTCTTTTCCCCCTAAAGCCTCCTCCTGTGCAGCAAATGAGAAACGCCACAACGTACGCCATGGTGACCCGCACCAAGACCTGATAGTGCAGCCACAGGGCAAGGGCACAGGAGCCTTGTCCACAGATGCCTTTGCTCTCCTGCAGAGTTCTTGTGCACCCATAACGTGGGGCTGCGGGTTGCATTTGGGCTTCTTTGGGGTTTTGTTTCAAAGGGAACGGCTGTATGTGTCTAGCCAAGAGGATGAAGGACTCATATCTCTGTTTGCAATAAATTAATACCTCTAAACTATATCAGGTGTACCAAGTAATATTGTGAGTGTATCAATGGTTTTTCCTCATGTGAAACCATCTCCCTGTGCTCACTGGAAATTATGTATTCCTAAACTGCATGATAAAGTCACAGGGCTGGTCTTCCTTGCACCCACACAGATGGACATTTGGACCTATAGGGACCAGTATCACTGCAGGGATGTGCTTGCATGTGTCTGCAAACTGGTGTGTGCATTGCAGATCTGGTTTTGTTTAGAAGAAAAATAAACATCTCTGGACGTCCATAAATCCACTAGTCACAATGGGATGCTCAAGATGCTCATGCCAGGAGCTGAGGGAGTTGGTGGAATTCATTGCTAGGCCATTATCCATTATCTGTGGTAAGTAATGGGCATCAGGAAAGTTGCCTGAGGACTGGAGGAAAGCAAGTTTTACTCCAGTCTTCCAAAGGGGAAAGAAGGATGACCCAGGTAACTATAGACCAGTCAACCTCACCTCCATCCCTGCAAAGCTGATGGAACAACTTAGCCTTGGCGTTGTCTCCAGGCATATCAAGGATAAAAGTTTCATCAGGGGCAGTCAACATGGCTTCACCAAGGGGAAGTCGTGCTTGACCGAACTGAGAGCCTTTTCTGAGGATATGGCCAGGGGGATAGATGATATTAAAGCAGTGGATGTGGTCTATCTTGATTTCAGTAAAGTCTTTGACACCGTCTCCCACACACAGCATCCTCGCATCTAACCTGAGTTGTGTGAAGTGTGTGAAGTGTGATCTGGTAGTGAGGTGGACTGTGATCTTTCTGAAGGGAAGAAGCCAGAGGGTTGTGGTCAATGGGATGGAGTCGAGTGGGAGGCCTGTGCCAGAAGATGAGGTGCCGTCCAGCGAGACCTAGACAGGATGGAGAATTGGGTGGGGAGAAACGTAACTGGAAATGCGCACACGTCGTTGGGTTAGAAACTGGCTGGATAGCCAGGCCCAAAGAGTCTCCCTGGCGCAACTTAAGCTTATTCCCCCTCGTCCTGTCACCAGGCACGTGGGAGAACAGACCAACCCCCTCCTCACTACAGCCTCCTTTAAGGTACCTGTAGAGAGCAATAACTTCACCCCTAAGCCTTCTTTTCTCCAGCCTGAACAAACCCAGCTCTCTCAGCCGCTCCTTGTAGGACTTGTTCTCCAGGACCCTCACCAGATTCGTCGCCCTTCTCTGGACCCACTAAAGCACCTCAATGTCCTTCTTGTAGCGAGGGGCCCAAAACTGAACACAGTACTCGAGGTGCGGCCTCACCAGAGCCGAGTACAGGGGGACGATCACTTCCCTAGCCCTGCTGGCCACACTGTTTCTGATACAAGCCAGGATGCTGTTGGCCTTCTTGGCCACCTGAGCACACTGCTGGCTCATATTCAGACGACTATCAACCATCACTCCCAGGTCCTTCTCTGCCAGGCAGCTTTCCAACCATTCTTCTCCCAGCCTGTAGCTCTGCTTGGGGTTATTGCGCCCCAGGTGCAGGACCCGGCACTTGGCCTTGTTGAACTTCATGCAGTTGACCTCAGCTCATTGGTCCAGCCTATCCAGATCCTCCTGCAGAGCCTTCCTACCCTCAAGCAGATAACTTGGTGTCATCTGAAAACTTGCTGAGGGTGCACTCAATGCCCTCATCCAGATCATCGATAAAGATATTAATGAGGACTGACCCCAGTACTGAGCCCTGGGGGACGCCACTAGTGACCAGCCTCCAACTGGATTTGACTCCATTCACCACAACTCTTTGGGCCCGACTACCCAGCCAGTTTCTAACGTAACGAAGGGTACGCTAGTCCATGCCAAGAGCAACCAGTTTCTTGAGGAGAATGCTGTGGGAAATGATGTCAAAAGCCTTGCTGAAGTCAAGGTAGACCACATCCACAGCCTTTCCCTCATCCACCCAGCGCGTCACTTTGTCATGGAAGGAGATCAGGTTCATCAAGCAGGACCTGCCTTTCATAAACCCATGCTGACTGGGCCCAGTCACCTGGATGCACTGTAAGTGCCATGTGATGACTCTCAAGATAATCTGCTCCATGAGCTTCCCTGGCACTGAGGTCAAACTGACAGGCCTGTAGTTCCCCAGGTCAGCCCTCCGGCCCTTCTTGTAGATGGGCGTCACATTCGCTAGCCGCCAGTCAACTGGGACCTCCCCCGATAGCCAGGACTGCTGATAAATGATGGATAGGGGCTTGGCCAGCTCCTCCGCCAGTTCTCTCAGTACCCTCGGGTGGATCCCATCCAGCCCCATGGACTTGTGCACATCCAAGTGCCGTAGCAGGTCACCAACCATTTCTTCATGGATGGTGAGGGCCACATCCTGCTCCCCATCCCCTTCCACCAGCTCAGGGTACTGGGTATCCAGAGAACACCTGCTCTTGCCACTAAAGACTGAGGTGAAGAAGGTGTTAAGCAGCTCTTCGTTTTCCTCATCTCTTGTGACTAAGTTTCCCCCCGCATCCAGTAAAGGCTGGAGATTCTCCTTAGTCCTCCTTTTTGTGTTGATGTATTTATAAAAATATTTTATGTTATCTTTAACGGCAGTAGCCAGATTGAGCTCCAGATGAGCTTTGGCCTTTCTAATTTTGTCCCTACACAGCCTCACAAAATTCTTATAGTCCTCCCAAGAGGCCTGCCCTTTTTTCTTCCAAGACTAATTTATAATTAATAATTTACAATTAATTATATAATTAATTAATTAACTAAATATATAATATTATAATATATATATTATATATATTTATTTATTATATATATTTATTTTTATATATTTTTAATATATATTATATGTTATTATAATGATGTAATGTAGTGTAATATAATATAATATCATATAATATAATGATACATTGTGTGTATATATATATATATATATATAATTATTAAAATTTATAATTCCCAGGTTATAAACCCTCTTTTTTGTCCTAAGCTCAAGCCATAACTCTCTGTTCAGCCAGGCCAGACTACTTGTGCACCGCGTTGTCTTTGGGCATGTGGGGACAGACCACTCCTGAGCCAGTAAGATTTCCCTCTTGAAGAGTGCCCAGCCTTCCTGGACTCCTCTGCCCTTCAGAACCACCTCCCAAGGGACTCTGCCAACCAGTGTCCAGAACAGCTCACAGTCAGCCCTCCATAAGTCCATGACTGCAGTTTTACTGATCCCCTTCCTGACTTCGCCAAGAATAGGGAACTCTACCATTTCGTGGTCACTCTGCCCAATACAGCTGCCGACCACCACAACTCCCACCAGCCCTTCTCTGTTTGTGAACAGAAGGTCTAGCAGGGCACCTCCCCAGGTAGGCTCACTAACCAGCTGTGTCAGGAAGCTATCTTCCATGCTCTCCAGAAACCTCCTACAGTGCTGAGGGAGTTGTGTGCATGGCGGGGCCCTCCCCTTCTTCTCAGCACAGTCACACTCGAGAAATAAGGGTTTTGTGGAAATGTTCCTGAGGACATTTAGCACCTTTTCTCTGTGCTCTCTCTATCCCTCTGTGTGGTGCTGATAGTGCTCAAGACTCTTCTGCTGACCCCAGCCATTTCTGTAAGTGCCAGTCCCTTCTTCACCCTTCTCCTCCAGGCACTGTGTGAAGTGCTGATGCCTTTGCCATGGCAAGCCATGACCATGGGGGCAACGGTGGTGGGGAATGGGGAAGCCCTGCCTGCGGTCTGTGGCTGGACACTAACTGAGGTTCTCCCTCCAGATGCCAACGTGGATGAGATGGGCAGAGTGAAGGTGAGTTCAGCTCAAGCACAGCCTTCCACGCTGAGCGTGCATGGGATGGTTGCGAGAGGGCAGGCTGTTGGAGAGCAAATGCAAGCCAAAAGTGCATCCGATGGCAGGAGCCTGGGATCTTTGCGTGGCTGTGCTCTGGCTGAATCCCTCTCCTTCCATGCTCCCAGCATTTCCAGAGGGCACTGCGAGAGTAAGGCCAGTCCTTGTTCTCCCTTGTGTTTTGCAGCTCTCTCAATTCAAAAGCTCTCAACAACCACTACATGCAGAAAGCTGAGCAAGTGAGAAGCGATGCAGCTGGTTCTCTGAGAGAGGCAGAGAGCACTGGGGAAAGGCCGGCCAATCTGTGAACTGTGAATAAAACCACCCCAAACAGGAAGGAGCTGGTGTAGTTCTTCTCGGCAAGGCCTGTCTGCAAGGCTTTTTGCATCCCTTCAGATCGACACCGCCAGCCCTTTGTGTCTCGGTGTCTGTCTGTCTGCTCCGTCCCATTCCATGTGTGGCTGCATGAGACGGAGGTGCCATCAGGAACACAAAGTCAGAGATGTTTATTTGTCATCAAAGCAAAACCACATCTGCAGTGCACACACTATTGACACACACACGCGATGACATGCCTGCAGTGATATCTGTCCATGTAGGTCAAAAATGGGCATCTCTGTAGGTGGGTAGAATAACACCCCCGTGTCATTATAATGCAACTTAGGTGTACACATCATCCACTGAGCACAGCGAGAGGTTTTCTTTTGTTGAGAAAAAATCAATACAGTCACAGTAAGATTTGGTATAGGTCATATATTTTAGAAGTATTAATGTCTTGTAGATGGAGGTGTGAGTCCTACATCTTCTTGGCTAGACACTCACAGCCCTTCCCTGAGAAAACAAACCCCTAAGAAGACCAAAGTGCACCCCCCAGCTCCACGTTATGGCTCCATGAGCCCTCTGCAGGAGGCCAAAGGCAGCTGTGGGCAAGGCTCCTGTGCCCTTGCCCTGTGACAGTGCTATCGGGTCTGGGTGCGGGTCACCGTGGCATATGTCATGATGTTTCTCATTTGATGCATGGGACGAGGCTTTAGGGAGAAAAAAAAACCCTGTTACTTCAGCTACTGACTGTGAGCCCTGCACAACGAGTGTGCACCAGGCTGCAGGAGTGCAGAAAGGAGCTGTGCAGAGCTGTGCCATGACTCACCCTGTCCCGTCGAATATGGGCGATGGTGGAGTCTGTGGGGGCAAAAAAATATATACCATGATCCCTTGCTGCCTGTTGGTGGAGGGCTGAAACTCACACTGACCTTGGGAATCAGCTGCCTGTGGTCAGCTCTCAAAGCCCGGCCACATTTCCTCTCCCATCACCCTGAACTGTGACACGCATTAAGCAGCAGAGGACCAGAGAAGCTGAGGTTTTGGTGTATTTCCAGCTTTCTGTGGAATCTCCTCTCTTTGCACAGCCAGCACACCTTGCGTGCTGCTCTGTGCAGGCGTGGGAAAACAAGGTGGTGCTGCAACATGAGCGAGGTGCAAGTAGGGTGGGGATATATCTATAGCCTGTTACCCAACCACAACATCCTCCCTTGCCTGCTGCTTGGGGTTTCAGAGCAAGCTCTAAAATGTTTTCCCCACCAGGGCAAGGAGCCACAACTTTCATTGCTGCGCAGTGCTTTTTGCTTCTCTGAGCAGAAATACCTCTGACGCGAAACTCAAGAAAGGAAAAAAGCAGAGGCTGGCGCAGGGGAATTGCAGCCTGGGGCTGTCGCATCTGTGGAAGGACACCCCTAAGAAAATGGGCTTTGTCCCTGGGAGCACTGGGATGCTGCCATGTCCCTTGTGCAGCCAGCAGCCACGATCAGCATTCAAGGAAGAAGCGGGACATGAGGTGCTGGAGAGAAACCTGGCCTTGATGAACGGGCAGGGATTTTGTATGTCCCAGTGGGAAATGAAGTGGTGGGATTGCATGGGGGCTCGCACAGGATTCTCATGGGGAGAGGAGCATGTGGCTTCCCCTGAGGGAGGAGGTAGTACTCACACTGGATGTCACCATAGCTGGCGTCTTCCGTCTGCGGGCTGTCAACTTGTTGCTGCCTGGAGAGGAATGGAATGGTTCTGGGATGTGCATGTGCTGAGGAGGGGTCATGAAGCTTATGCCCTCTGGTGTTGCTTTCCTGCATTTGGCATTGAGATGGAGGGCAGCCAAAGACAAGCCCCACCCTTCCTGACTTCTGCACAGGAGATGCCCCTGAACAAGGAGCACCCCAGGGACCTTTCATTCCCCCCCACTCCCTCCCACAAACCCCACAACCAGGAGCCCTTGGTGCTCACCTTGGGCATCTCCCTCTGCAGGCACCTGCAAGAAGAACAGGGGCTGGGATGCACAGGCCAAGGTGCAGCCCAGCCGTGGCTCCCATCTCGGGGCTCGGGGATGAAGGCTGAAGCTCCCCAGCTCCCTCAGCAGCCTCCCCAGCTGGGCTGCCCACAGCCATCACCCCCAGGCACCGTCTGCCCCAGCTGGGCACCCCCAGGATCCCCCCAATGCCTTTCCCTCTGCACCAGTCCCGCAGCAGGACCCCCAACACCTCAGCCTTTTCCCCGCCTTCCCCCACTCCCTCACCTTTCCTGATGGCAAACCAGCTGCCTGCAGCCAGGAGGATGAGAGGCACCACTGCAAGCACCATGGCTGTTTGGAGGGTGTGCGGGAGCCAGGCATGATGAGCCGGGAGACAGAAGGTGTGAGGGCAGCGGGGTGTGATGGGGAGAGGCAGGGAGCAGGACGTGCCCATGTAACCGGCATACCCTCATGCTTGTCCTCACCTGTGGAGCTCTGGATATCAGTGGTGGTCTCACCAGCACCTGCACCTTGAGGCAAAAGGGGTTTTTCTTAGTGGGATCAAGACCTGGCACACCGCCACACCCGAGTCCTTTTTCTTCCTGTTTGTTCTTGCTGAGCAGGCACCTTTCTGTGTCTCAAACCAGCACCACTGTGCTCTCCCTTCTGGAACCATCCCACACTGTTGCTGATGTACAGGCTATAGCCTGTCTCATGACAATCACACCGCTTCCCCTGCCATAGGGGAATGGTACAGGGCAGATGTACAGGGCAGATCTTGGAACATCCCAGGCTCTACCCAGGGTCCATCAACATCCCCAGCTCTTGCTCTCTCTGCATGGGAACTGCACAGCCCCATGCCTCAACCGAGGTGCTGCTGCAGGGAGGGGGACAGTCCTTGAGAGCAGCTTTCTCTCTGTAGGGGCTGCCTCTGAGGAGAGGGAACACTTCCGAGGGGGAACCACCCCAGAGCTATGCCCTGCCTGCTGCAGCACACAGCTCCAGCCTCAGCAGTTTTCCGAAAACCTTTTACCCTCACCACCCTGGGGCCATGTCTCACCTGCCACAGAGAAGGTCCAGGGAGCACTGAGAGCAGAGTTCTTCACGTTGTTTTTCTTGTTCTTCTGCTGGTACCCACACATGTATGTCCCAGCACTTCTGGAGGTGATGTTCAGGACCAGAGCGTAGATGAGCCTGCCCTGCTGGGCTTTCAGGCTGAACTCCTCCAGCCCATTCTTGCAGAAGACAACTCGTGTAGCAGGAAACTGCCAAACAATGACACAATTTTGGGTAGTTAGGGTCTGGCGGCCAGAAGATGTCGTGCTGTATGGAAAGGTGGAGCCCTTCCCTTGATGGACAGTAGCGTGTGGTCTGTGATGTAAGCAAGCGGAAGTGACGCTATGGGCCTCGGGTATATAACCCCATGTGACTCGACAATAAACGCTATTTGCCATCCACCACATTGGTGTCTGTGAGCCGATGGACCGAGCGGCCTGGGGTTGGCCGCCGTGCCGTTCCTGAACCAGGTCGCCACTGCCCCCTGAAGGCAACACTCTGGTCAATGGCAAAACCAGCCTTCAGGAGAATTTAGATGATTTACGTCCCTTTCTCAAGACTTCCTCTGCTTTGCTGCCCCATGTGAGGCTGCCATCAATGCACTGCAGGTGCTCAGGAGCTTCACCTTGTTCTACAGCCATCTGCATTTCTCCATGGCAAATGGCAGGGCTGTGTTTGCACCCCTGGCACCGTCCATTGCAGGTATACTGGACGTCCCGCCAAGGGAAAACAATCTGAGGCCTGCACTCTACAGCTGTATTGGAGTTGCATGGCAAGGGTTTGGTAGCAGGGGTCTGCAGCGGTGGCCTTGTTGAGAAGCCCAGAAGCTGCCCCCTATTTGAAAAGGGCCAGTGTCAGACTGCTCCAAAGGGACCTGCTGCAGGCCAAAGACGAGCCAAAAAATTATGTTGATTGTACCTCTGTGAGAGCATATTTAACGAGGGAAGAAAACCTGCTGGACATCAACAGGTGGCAGAGGGAAGAATGAGAACCAGCCCTGCAGGCACCAAGGTCAGTGCAGCAGGAGGACAGGAGGTGCTCCAGGCATGCAGCACAAGATCCCCTGCGGCCTGTGGAGAGGCCCCTGGTGGAGCAGGTTGTCCCTCTGCACCCATGGGTCCCACATGGAGCAGATCTCCACGCTGCAGCCCGTGGAGGAGCCCCTGGTTGAGCAGGTGACTGTGGCCCATGGAGAGGCCCCACAGGAGCAGGCCCTGGGCCGGAGCTGCAGCCCGTGGAGAGGAGCCCACGCAGAACCAGGTGGTCTGGTGTCGTGTTAAGGGGTGTAGCCAATTAACCGTTATGGGTCCGGTTGGATTCATGGTACTGAACTATCCCAATCACAGATTCACCAATACCGCATTAACCATTAGGCGCCTGGTTGGATTCAGAGCACTGAACTACCATGGTCAGGGAATCACCAAAAACGTATAACCACCCTTACTCTAGTTGTGTTTAATGAGAACTATTGTAATAAATGACTGAGTCCCAAATAGGATTACAAAATGTACAAGTTATTAAATGGATAGAGGTAAGCAAACAGTGCTGGGTGCGCTGGTAGTCTCTGCTCCACCAAGACGCACATCAGTTACATCAGGCATCTAGTTTTTATGCTCCTAGGCTCCTACATATTCATTATTACTTCTAGAAAAGGCAGGGTTATTATAATTAGGTCCCGGAATCCGAACCCTCCTACTGGCGCATGCATATCAGTCTCCAGTGGTCCCTCTGGGGGTCTCTTGTGCTGAAGGCTCGTAGTCTTCCTCCCAGTTTTTTTTCTTGTCCTTCTCCTTTGTCCAACTTGGCCGCATGTCAGAGACTTGTGCAGCGTCCCCTGCAAGCTTTGTCTTTTAGTCGTCCTTCAGCTTTCCCCTTCTCCTTAATCTCTTGGCCTGATATCAGAGACTTGCATAGTGTCCCATTTAATAATCATAATATTTAGCAGTTATTCTGAAATCCCTTTCTTCTCTTAACCCCCATTGACACAAATTGCTGGAATATTCCTTTGCAAGATACAAGAACTATATGCATTAACCACTCTGTTTTTCTTAGACTTGGGTTATATAAGAGTATGAAAGACAGAAGGTCACATTTCATCATATCATGTGACCCTAGGATTGTTCCACATTGATACGAATCAGATGAACACATTTCACACTATCATGGGTAGGAACAATGCATTCAAGTGCGATTTATTACAGTAAAAGGTACACAGGCCAGCCATAGTTACTGTCTGCAAAAGCAAGCTAGCATGTATAAAATACACAGGTGACATACATATAGGTGACACAGGTGCGCAGCCTGGAAATCAACGTGTTAAAAGACACAAAGACTCTATAGAGATTTCAAAGTTTCTGCAGAGAGACACACAGTATAACCAAGTGTTCAAATCTCACCCAAAGGCATCCCAATGGTGGAGAGGGTGGAAGAGAAGCTCAGCCCATCAACTGATCCCAGGAGTCAGGAGGTCCTCAGGATGCTGTATTCCCTCGGGATGGTATCTCCCCTGACAGTGGTATCTTCCCCAACATCCCCTCTCTCTTAGGCAAATTTATATTATTTTCTATCTTTTAGGTGGAGCTTGAGTGACTCTAGTCAAGCATATCTTAGTTATGATTGGTGAAAAAATATCACGTATCTGTTTAAAGTAAAAGGCTCCGAGAAACTCAGAGTGCATGCTGAGTGAGGGGTGGTCGCACATTGGAGGCAGGTAGCTTTTGGGTTGGAGGCGTGTTTTGGTGTTATAATGATATTACAATGAGGAAAAGTACACTAGGGTACAGCATTTGTCAAAACATGACGGGTCCTTGTCTCAGGGTCGCAAAAAGTGCAGCTTGTCGATCTCCCTGTGCACAAGAACAATTGAGTCCCTACATGTTCACAGAGCCTAGCCGCGGTGCCTCCACTCCACTCTATGCTCCGTACTGTCCCTTAGAACCTGCACACCAGGTTCCCCCAGTGTGATAGCATCTAAGGTTGGAAGCCTAGGGATCGCTTAGGTAATGCAGCTACACCCTACCCTGAAAACCTCTTCAGTGCTGTACATTTTCTTTAAAACATGAATGTTAGTTTTATTTTCCTAGTTACTTTAGGCAATTGCACCACATTAGCTGAAGGCTGCTAACTGGTAGTGTACTCCAGGGATCCAAATTACAGAATCACAGAATCCCAGAACTTCTAGGTTGGAAGAGACCTCAAGATCATTGAGTCCAACCTCTGACCTAACACTAACAAGTCCTCCACTGTTATAAATGGCTCAGTCTTCAAGAAAGGATTATAATGAAAGATTACACAGGGTCCCCTGCAAGTTTTGTCTTCTAGCCGTCCTTCAGCTTCTTTCTTTCTTCTCCTTAATCTCCTGGCCACCTGGCCAGATATCAGGGGGTTGCATAGTGTCTGATTCAGAAGCCAGAACAGTTACTACTTGTTAGCAGTTGTTCTGAAACCCCCAGACATCAGAGACCTCAAAGGAAGAACATACAAATGCAAATAGCTCTCTATTGACACTTCACGTGTTGTTAAAACATTCCTCATAGGCCATTCACAGGGACACTCCAGTCACATCTATAGCAGTGCTAAATCAACCACAAAGAAGACAAAAAGGCTGTAACTGTTAGGAACAAGAGTTACCCTCAGAAAGCTTGCAGCTGACACCACAGTGCGATTGGCTCACCAAGGAGGGCTGGAGGCTGTGTGAGAATGAGGGTGTAGCTCTGTCCACCTAACTCTGTATATTCCCTTTGAGGAAGAGTCTCCTGGAGGCTTGTGCTGTGAAACATGCATGCATGGGCCTGAAGGAAGCTGTGGGACAAGTGCTTTGATGAAGGCATGGGAGGTGAGGGACTGTGCTTGCAGGAAGGAGCCTGAAACCCACGTCCCCTCCAGCTCTGCCTCCAAGCAGCTCTTGCTGAGTTTTGACCCCATTTTCCTATCCCATATTCTCTCCATGCAGTCCTGCATCCTCATGCCTCCCAGCTGAGCAGCTCCTCTCCTGCCTGAACCCATCTTATCCCAGAGTCCCCCACTGCACACCAAGGACCCAGATGTCAGCACTGGGAGCTGCACAGTGGGGACACCGTGGCTTCTTCCAGGTATTGGTGTGGGATGTCTAAAACCCCTTTGTGCAAGGCTGGGGATGGTCTGTGGGTGTGGGGGCCAGCCATGCTGAGACCCCATCCCCACCTGGCCCACAGCTGGATGCCCCCATGCACAATGTCCCTGCTCAGGGCTGTCTCCTAGGGATGGCGCGTTGAGAGACAGAAGACCCAGCACAGGGATGGGTGGGCATGGGATGCAGAGTGCCAGGCATGGTCACCCCCTGGACCTTTCCATGGCCTCAGCCATCCTCAGATCTCAGGCAGTTTTCCATGACACATCTGCCAGGGCAATGCCAGTAGGTAGGGGAACTCTTGGGTGACAGGGCACAGAGAACAGGAGCTCCCTTTCAAGACACATGGACCCATATGGCAGTCATAGAGCAGCTCTCCCAGCTCTGCTCACGGGCTTCCCTCTCAAATACAGAGCAGCAACATCAGCTGGTGCATTCTGAACCAATCCTTTATAACTCGCCTCCCACAGGACCAATACCCACCAAGGTGCCTTGAGAGGGGGCACTGTAATCACTTGGGGATGTGCCCATTGCGGCCAGCACCACCTTGGGCACAGGAAGGTGCTGGAGTGATGCAGGAGCTGCAGAGCATGGCTGCCTGGGGGTGCAGCTGTGACTCCATCCCCTCGTGTTTTCCCGGTATGCAGAGATGGATCCTGTGATGTAGATGTGATTCTGTGAGCAGGCAGGGCAGCTATGTGGGTGCTGGGGTTGAACCCAGCTGGGAGGGTCTGCGATCCAGTGGTAATCCTTGATGTGAGCAGAGAGCAGGCGCTGAGCCAAGGGAAGCAGAGCAGTGGCAGCACATCCCTTGGGGATGCTGCCACAGCTGCCTTGAACCCAACAGCAGCGGGAGTCTAGCCACTTTGGGGGTCATGCTCTGAGCATGAGGGAGCCAACTGGGGACAGCAGGGAGCTCAGGGGGACATCAGAGATCCATGGGGACAGGGACGTCTCCAGGCTGCCTGGCCTCACTGGCACTGTGGCTGCATCTCTCCAGGAGGAGGGTGATGATGGGGGCAGACAGCAGCAGGAGCAGGCTGAGGGCAGAGCGCAGGATCCAGACCTCCAGGGGCATGGCTGACCCTGGGAGAGAGGAGGAACACAGTGTGGCCAAGGCAAGCCTTGGAGGACGGCTGTGCTGGGAAGGGCTGATGAGCAATGTCTCACCTCTGGAAGGGAGCTGGGCCTTGTGTGAGGGGCTGCTGCCTGTGGGAGACATGAACATGCTGTGAGTTTCTGGAGCTCTTTGCTGGGACAATCCCAGATGCTGAGCAGACCCTGAGCTCGTGTCTTGCTTCCTGGAGAAAATGGCCAAAGTGAACAACCGAGCTTGTGTAAACTGATTTTCATAGGTTCATAAAGTTTAGAGGGAAAGCTTGGAGCAGTAGTGGCACAGCCCAATGGTCCATCAACATCCCGAGTCCCTGTTTTTTATGCATGGGCCCTGCAACAACTCAAGTCTGCAGCAGAGGTTTTCTGCCCTGTGTCCATCTCTAGCCATTTTTAGTTGGTTTATTTTTCAAGGGAGAGTTGCCTAGATCCCTGAGCACTCCAATATCACTCCATTCGCAATATGGCTCCAGCTATAGTTTTAGTGCCAGAAATATTGTCCCTTTGCTCACATGTACATTACGGCTCAGCTCATGACAATTACTCTACTTGCCCTGCCACAGGCTCATCAATGTACAGGGCAGACCTTGGAGCATCCCTGGCTCAACCCAGCATCCATCCACATTCCCAACCCTTCTTCTCTGTGCATGGGCCCTGCACAGCCCCATGTCTGTAGCACAGGTGGTGCTGCAGGGACAGGGGGACCTCGAGGTCCTGGGGGAGCAGGAGGGAATCACTCACCTGGGGGTACAGGAGGTGCAGGAGGGAATCACTCACCTGGGGGTGGTGGACTTGCTGGGGAACTCACCACATTGCCTGGCAGGACAAAAGGACAGGCTTAGTGTCTACAGTGAATCCAGATCCTTCCCAGAATGAGCCTCAGCCCCATGGCCACATCCCTCCACTGACAGCCAGCACCATCACCAGGGAAGGCATAAAATGCCCGTGGCTGTTGTGCCAACATGGGCCCAATGGATCTGCTGTCTAAATTCCTTCGTGAGTGGTTAAGTATAGCTTGGTCTAGGTGTGCCTGTCGATTAAATATGGCACCACCACTCTCATCTGTCTATGATTCTGGGGGGCTAGAGGATCACGCAATCACAGAATGGCCAAGGTTGGAAGGGACCTCTGAAAGTCATGGAGTCCAGCCTTCTGCTGAGCAGGATCAGATGGGACACACTGCACAGGATGGCATCCAGGTGGATGTGGAACATCTACAGAGGAGACTCCACAACGTCTCTGGGCAGCCTGTTCCAGTGCTCTGTCACCCTCCCAGTAAAGAAATGCCCCTCATATTCAGATGGAACTTTCTGTGCTTCAGTTTGAGCCCATTGTCTGTCACGCTTTCCCTGGGCACAACCGAAAAGAGACCAGATCCATCCTCTCAACACCCTCCCCTCAGATATTTATAGACATGGATGAGGTCTCCCCTCAGTCTCCTCTTTTCTGGGTTAAAAAGGCTCAGTTCTCTTGGCTCCGGTCCTCTGATCATCTTTGCAGCCCTCCTCTGGACTCTCTCCAGTAGTTCTATGCCCCTCTTGTACAGGGAATCCCAGAACTGGGCACAAAATGCTTTGTGTTCCATGCAGGGAAGTGATTCCTTCCCAGGAGCTCTCACCCAGAGAACAAATTCCCTCTCCCTTGCCATCACCACCCCACACACACCTCTCTTCAGTCACCCATCCCCACGCTCAACCTCACCTGGGGAGCTGCCGATGTCCTGGGTGGTCACGCCAGCAGCTGCACCTTGGGGCACAGAGGGTTTTGTTTAGAGGGAGTGAGAGCTGGGGCACCCACATGCTTGTGCCCATGTCCCTGCTGCGGGGCCCTTGCCATGTCCTCACTGCTGTGTCCTTACCCAGCTCGTGACAGTCATCCCACTTGTCCTGCCATAGGCTCATCAATGCACAGGACAGACCTTGGTGCATACCTGCGTCATCCAGCATTCATCCACATCCCCAGCCCTTACTCTCTGTGCCTGGGCCCTGCACAGCCCCATCTCTGCAGCAGAGGTGGTGCTGCAGAGACACGGGAATCCCTTGAGAGCAGTTTCCTCTCATGGTTGCCTCTGAGGAGAGGGAAAACTCCCGTGAGGAAACCACCCCAGAGCCCGCTGAAGCACACAGTTCCACTCTCAGCACAGCCATGTGGTGGCAAGTGCCTCTGTCCCTTCTCACCCCTCCAGCCCGGGGACTTGTCTCACCATGGACATCCAGGATGTGGAGAGCACTGAGGGCAGAACTCATATGTTTCTTCTCATTCAACGCCTGGTACCCACATGTATATCTTCCTGCACTTCTTGACGTGATGTTCTGGACCAGGGTGTAGCTCAGCTGCCTTTGCTGGGCTTTGTGGCTGTACGCCTCCATCCCATCCTTGCAGAAGATGATTCGTCTTACATGTGACACCACAGCGAGAATACACTGGAGCACAACTCTGGTACCTGGCTGAGCAGAAGTTGAGTTCATTTGGAGAGCAGGAGCTGGAAGATCCCCTGCAGGAGACACAGCAGTGAAGGGCTGCCTTAAGGCAGAGCTCACAGTGGTTGGGCTTCCAAGTGCCCTGGCTCTGGAAGGGAAGGACTCACGAGTACCTGGGGAGCTGCAGATGTCCTGGGAGGTCATGCTGCCACCTGTACCTGGGGGCAGAGAGGGATTTGCTGAGAGGAGCAGTGTCCAGGCTCATCCAGATTTCCCTGCTCCCATATCCCCCCTGACCAAACCCTCACTGCTAAGCAGGCATCATTACATCTGCGTGTTCCCATGCTGTATCTCTTCAATATGCCCTCAAACAATTGAATTCCAATGCCATTCTGGGTGAATTTCTTGTTCCAGGTAAGTCCCATATCTCCTTAAAAAATTCAGCAGTCCTTGAGTCTCAGAACAACACGCCAGAAAATTTATGGTGCTGGAGAAGCGTGTCCCTTGCTCAAATGTGTATTATACTTGGAGGAAGTCATCCCCATCCTGCTTTCCGCAGAGCAACTCTGCCCCACACTGCTGCACCACAGCCCCACACATACTGTCCCCATCCTCCCAGGTGCCCACCACTGGCCTGTCCTGCTCCCAGCACCAGCCCTCCAGCCCTCAGCCCCCACGCCCTGCAATGCCCCAACTCACAGATCACCAGCAGCAGGATGGCAGGGCCAGAAGGAGACAGCCTTGCCCATGATGCCTGGCCCAGCATTTTTGGGGCGCTGCTTTTGGGGAGCAGCATCTGCTTCGAGTTTCTGCTTTGCTCTGAGCTAGGGACGGTGGGGCAGATGCTTGCGGTTCAGCTGGGGGCTGTGCTGTTAGCTTTCTGTGGCCACCTGAGCCTGGCCCACAGCCAGAGGCTCTCATCAGTGGGGGCCTTGCCTAAAAACCTGCTACATCCGCTGCTTTTGTTGAGCCCCCACTGTTTTTTCTCTCCTCTCACACACTGCAGCAAACGCTTGTGTCCCTGTAAAAAGCTCCTGCCCCTTGTCCCCACTTGGATTTGCCCTCTTCTGACCACATCACTCTGCTTCTCTTCAATGTCTAGACAAATGATGGAATCAGGGGAATCCTGCACCAAGGCCAAAGTGACTTCAGAGCTCTGGGGCATTTCCCAAGGCTATGGGCAGATTTCTCCTTCATCCTGTTGGTGAATCAGCTTATTAAGAACTCTCGGGGAGTCTCAGCTGGGGCCATACTGCTGCCAGCACAGCACTGTGGGAGCCATCTGCACCCACACTTTGACCCTCATGAGAATACACAACAACCAGGAAAGGCAGAGGCTACGTCCTGAAAAACACCTGAGCTCCCCCATGCTGCTCTATCACTTCTCTTCCTCGAAGGAAGGCCCTGAGCCAAGGGAAGCAGAGCAGTGGCAGCACATCCCTTGGGCATGCTGCCACAGCTGCCTTGAACCCAACAGCAGTGGGAGTCTGATAAATGTGTGGGGGTCATGCTCTGAGCATGAAGGAGCAGGCTGAGAATAGCATGGAGCCCAGGGGGACATCAGAGCTCCATGGGGACAGGGATGTCTCCAGGCTGCCTGGCCACACTGACACCGTGGCTCCATGATGGATGATGATGGCAGCAGACAGCAGCAGGAGCAGGCTGAGGGCAGAGCGCAGGATCCAGACCTCCAGGGGCATGGCTGACGCTGGGAGAGAGGAGGAACACAGTGTGGCCAAGGCAAGCCTTGGAGGACGGCTGTGATGGGAAGGGCTGATGAGCAATGTCTCACCTCTGGAAGGGAGCTGGGCCTTGTGTGAGGGGCTGCTTCCTGTGAGAGACATGAACATGCTGTGAGTTTCTGGAGCTCTTTGCTGGGACAATCCCAGATGCTGAGCAGACCCTGAGCTCGTGTCTTGCTTCCTTGCGTACATGGTCAGCATTAACAACTGAGCTCATGTAAATTCCCAGAAAGAGGTTAGTAAAAGTGTGAGGGAGAGCATGGAGCAGTAGTGGCACAGGCCAGGGCCTACTGATATCCCCAGCCCTTGTTTTTCACATGGGCACTGTAAAGCCCCATATATCAGCAGAGCTGCTACTGCAGGTACAGGGGAAAACCTGAGATCAGTTCTCCATCCAGGGTCTCCTGTGGAGTAGGGGGAACACTCCCGAGGGGGAATCACACCTGAGCCATGCCCTGTATGATGAAGCACACAGCTCCAGCTTCAGGGGAACCCTTGAGGCAGTTCTCTGTCCAGGGTCTGCTGTGGACATAGGGTAAACTCTCCTGAGGGGTAATCGCACCTGAGCCATGCCCTGTATGATGAAGCACACAGCTCCAGCTTCTGCACTGTCCACATCCCACTAGCCCCACAGCCCTGATGAAGGGTCGTGTCTCACCTGGCACAGACAGGGTCCAAGGAGCACTGAAAGGAGAGCACCCAAGCTGACTGGGGACTGGCGATGAGAACACGGAGCATTCCCTTCATTCCCAGGGAAGTCTGTGGTCTATCAGAGCCTGGATCAGAGATATCACCAGGACACTCATCAGCCTGCTGTGCTTCACATACTACTATCTACCGACAATATTGCAGACAGCTGTGGAAGAAGCTGTGTCCTGTAGTCTGAGGGGAATGAAGAAAGCTTTCAAGGCCTTGGGACGGTTGGTGAAAGAGTCTGTAGTACAAGTCCCGTTCTCTTCCCTCCATCCATTCTGGGGTGGTGACTTTGTATAGAATAGAAGGATCTGGTCCATAAATGCTTGACTCCATGACTGGTGCTACAGGCCCAGCGTTGGGTTATTTGGTAATGGCTGGTGTTATAAGACAGCAGGCCTGAGAGTAATAATTGGGAAAGGTTTATCTCACAGGGTCCAGAGTGTTCTGGGACAGCAATTAGCAGGGCTCTTTTCAAGAGCTTTTAGCTACATGTATATCCGCAGGGGGATGGGGTTGTAGCAGGGCTTGTACTGGTGGGACAGTGCCCCCACAGACATGAAGACCAGGAGGCCTCCCACCCCTCTCAGGGTGAAATCAGCATGCTCAGATCCTTCCCTGAAGTGCCTGGACACAAACGCATGTGGCATGGGGAATAAGCAGGAGGAGTTAGAAATCTGTGTTTGGTCAGAAGACTGAGATCTGGTGGCAGTTACAGAGACATGGTGGGACAGCTCACATGGCTGGAATGTGGTCATGGATGGCTATGTCCTGCTCAGGAAGACAGGCCAGCAAGGTGAGGTTGCGGAACTGCTCTTCAAGTCAGAGAGCAACTCCATTGTATTGAGTACTGTCCAGGGGCAGATGAGGAGCGTGTTGAGAGTCTGTGGGTGAGAATTAAGGGGCAGGCTGGCATGGGGGATGCTGTTGTGCTTGTCTGTTACAGGCCACTAGACCAGGATGAGGAAGCTGACGAGGCCTTCTACAGGCATCTGAGAACAGCCTCTTGATCAGAGGCCCTGGTTTTCATGGAGGATTCCAACTACCCTGACATTTGCTGACAGGCCTACTCAGCCAGTCACCCACAGTCCAGGAAGTTCCTCCAGTACTGGTTCCTCCAGTGCATTGATGATAACTTCCTGATGGAAATGGTGAACGTGCCAACTGGGAGAGGAGTGCTGCTAGATGTTGTCGTCACCAACAACAGGGGTTGGTTGATTCTGAATCACAGAATCACAAATTTAAACATCAAGTTAGGTGCGTGTGTCGATCTGCTCAAGGGTAGGAAGGTTCTGCAGGAGGATCTGGATAGGCTGGAGCGCTGGGCTGAGGTCAACTGCATGAAGTTCAATAAGGCCAAGTGATGGGTCCTGCACCTGGGGAGAAATAACCCCAAGCAGAGCTACAGGCTGGGAGACGAGTGGTTGGAGAGCTGCCAGGCAGAGAAGGACCTGGGAGTGATGGTGGACAGTCGGCTGAATATGAGCCAGCAGTGTGCTCAGGTGGCCAAGAAGGCCAACGGCATCCTGGCTTGTATCAGAAACAGTGTGACCAGCAGGGCTAGGGAGGTGATCGTCCCCCTGTACTCAGCTCTGGTGAGGCCGCACCTCGAGAACTGTGTTCAGTTTTGGGCCCCTCGCTACAAGAAGGACATCGAGGTGCTTGAGAGAGTCCAGAGAAGGGCGACGAAGCTGGTGAGGGGCCTGGAGAACAAGTCCTACGAGGAGTGGCTGAGGGAGCTGGGCTTGTTCAGCCTGGAGAAAAGGAGGCTCAGGGGCGACCTTATCACTCTCCCTAGACACCTTAAACGAGGCTGTAGCGGTGGGGATTGGTCTGTTCTCCCACGTGCCTGGTGACAGGACGAGGGCGAATGGGCTTAAGTTGTGCCAGGGGAGTTTTAGGTTAGATGTTAGGAAGAACTTCTTTACTGAAAGGGTTGTTAGACACTGGAACAGGCTGCCCAGGGAGGTGGTGGAGTCACCATCCCTGGAAGTCTTCAAAAGACGTTTAGATGTAGAGCTTAGGGATATGGTTTAATGGGGACTGTTAATGTAAGGTCAGAGGTTGGACTCGATGATCTTGAGATCTCTTCAAACCTAGAAATTCTGTAATTCTGTGATTCTGTGAAGTGGGAAGAGATGAAGTGGATGTCCAAAAGGCTGTGGTGGGAGAAAGCCGAGGTCATCCTCTGGACTTCTGGAGTGGGGCTGTTGAGTGATGGGCAGTCATGCCCAAGAGAGTTGAAGACCAGTGGGTGCAGATGGCTCCCACAGTGCTGTGCTGGCAGCAGTATGGCCCCAGCTGATACTCCCTGAGAGTTCTTCATAAGCTGATTCACCAACAGGATGAAGGAGAAATCTGCCCACAGCCTTGGCAACTGCCCCAGAGCTCTCAAGTCACTTTGACCTTGGTGCAGGATGCCCCTGGCACAACTATTGGTATGGAGATCGAAGAAAAGCGGAGTGACCTGGTCAGAAGAAGGCAAAGAACATGGGGAAAAAAGGCAGGAGGGCTTTGCAAGGAAGATGCTGCCCCTGAGACACAGGAAAAAACAGAAAAACAGAGCGTGCTGCGGTGTGCGAGAGGACAAAAATAACAGCGGGTCCTCAACAAAAGCAGCGGATGTAGCAGGGGCTGAGGCATGGCCATCACTGATGAGAGACGCTCAGTGTGGGCCAGGCTCAGGCGGCCACAGCAAGCCCACAGGACAGCCCCCAGCTGCACTGCAAGCCTCTGTCCCACCATCCCCAGCTCACAGCAAAGCAGCCACCTGAAGCAGACGCTGCTCCCCAAAAGCAGCACCCCAAAAGATGCTGGGGCATGTGCCATGGGCAAGGCTGTCTCCTTCTGGCCCTGCCGTCCTGCTGCTGGCACTCTGTGAGTTGGGGCATTGCTGGGTGTGGGGGCTGAGGGCTGGAGGGCTGCTGCTGGGGGCAGGACAGGCCAGTGGTGGGCACAGGGGAGGATGGGGACAGTGACTGCCGTACAGTCGTGCTTAACTGCAGGGCAGAGTTGTTTTGGGGAAGGCAGGAGGTCACTGCCCCTCTGTGCGGGGCAGGCATGCAGAACTGCAGGACACGGTTGCGTCTGGGGAAGGATGGGTTGGGATTGCTTCCTCCTGCTATGATGCAGATCTGAGAAAGGGACACACTTCTCCAGTACTAAAAGTTTGTCTGGAGCTTTTGTGTGAGACGTTCAGGATGCTGGATTCCTTAGAGATCCTGGGCACTCATACGGGAATATAAAGCACATCCAGACCAGGCTTGGGATGGTGCCAAGTGTGCAGATGAAGCAAATCGCAATTGGAAATGTGCGGGTGGGGAGTCCCCTGTTCAGGCAGGACTCAGAAACTGGGATGTGAGCAGGGAGGTGGGGGTGAGCTGGGTCTCTGCCCCTCTAAGGAAAGCTCTCTCTGCCCCATGCTGCAGGTGCTGTCTTGACCACCCAGGACATCTGCAGCTCTCCAGGATTGCAGGAGCATGGAGGTGGGTCCCAAAAATGAACGTGTCCTGGGGAAGGAGGTGGGAAGAGAGAAGGGGATTATTCCCTCACAATTCCCCATGGAAACCCCAGGACAGCAGACTCCTCCAGCCTTGGCATGCAGTTGGTTTTGCCACCTGGCAGTCACTAACGCTTGCCTGGGGAATCCCTCTGCCTTCTCTCCAGGTAACGACCAGACTCCAGTCCTGTACCTCAACGCTTCCAGTGCCAAGGAGGGGGAAATAATTTTCTTTCAGTGTGTCATTGATTGGCAGTTTCCTGCTACACGAGTTGTCTTCTGCAAGAATGGGCAGGAGGAGTTCAGCCTGAAAGCCCAGCAGGGCAAGGTCATCTATGCTCTGGTCCTGAACATCACCTCCAGAAGTGCTGGGACGTACACGTGTGGATACCAGCAGAGGAACGAGAGCAACTGGGTGAGGAACTCTGCTCTCAGTGCTCCCCAGACCCTGTCTGTACCAGGTGAGACACGGCCCCAGTGTGGTGGTGGCAGAAGGGACACGGGCTGTGCTGAGGCTGGAGCTGTGTGCTGCAGCAGGCAGGGCATGGCTCTGGGGTGGTTCCCCCTTGGGAGAGCTGCTCTCAAGGGCTGCCCCTGTCCCTGCATCAGCACCTACACAATAGGTAGACTTTGTGAAGCAGACGAGGGCATGTGCCCTGAAATGTTTAGGATACTCAGTGTGTTTTCGGCACTTTTATGCCTCCCCTGGGGATGGTGCTGGCTGTCGGTGGGGGGATGTGCCCATGGGGCTGTGTGTCCCCTGCCCCACACACACGTGCTCAGGGATGTTGCAGGACACGAGATAAATATGTGCCTAGTCTGGGCAGTACGGGGCATGCTGCAGACCCTCATCCTGTTCCTTTCTCCTGCCAGGCAGTGTGGCCAGCTCCCCAGCAAGGCCATTGCCCCCAGGTGAGTGATTCTCTCCTGTACCCCCAGGGAACACAGCAAGGTGCTGCCAGGCTGCCGCCCCAGTGCGGCTCTGCCATGTCATTCCTAATCCCTCACAAGACACTGGGTCCATGGGGGCCCAGGTTGGCAGAATGGTCCTGGGCACATGCACAGCTCCCTTGGGGATGGTGCTGGCTGTCAGTGGGGGGATGTGCCCGTGGGGCTGAGGCTCATTCTGGGAAGGATCTGGGTGCACTGTAGACACTAAGCCTGTCCTTTTGTCCTGCCAGGCAATGTGGTGAGTTCCCCAGCAACTCCACCACCCACAGGTGAGTGATTCCCTCCTACACCCTCAGGACCACCAGAATGGGTCTCAGTCACTCCAGCGTGCTGTCCCCAGGGAACGGGGCCATGCAGGAGCTTCACCAGGCAGGAGGTGTGCTGCTGCACGGGCACGTCCTGCTCCCTGCCTCTCCCCATCACACCCTGCTGCCCTCACACCCTCTGTCCCCCAACTCCAAATTCCCGGATCCCACACACCCTCCCCACAGGCACGGCACTGGCAGTGGCGGCTGTCGGCCTCATCCTTCTGGCTGCAGGCAGCTGGTTTGCCATCAGGAAAGGTGAGGGAGTGGGGGAAGGTGGGGGGAAAGGCTGAGGCCGTGGGGGTCCTGCTGCTAGGCTGGTGCAGTGGGAAAAGCGTTGGGGGGTACCTGGGGGTGCACAGCTGGGGCAGACGGTGCCTGGGGGTGATGGATGTGGGCAGCCCATCTGGGGAGGCTGCTGAGGGAGCTGGGGAGCTTCAGCCTTCATCCCCCAGCCCCGAGATGGGAGCCAGGGCTGGGCAGCACCTTGGCCTGTGCACCTCAGCCCCTGTTCTTCTTCCAGGTGCGTGCAGAGGGAGATGTCCAAGGTGAGCACCAAGGGCTGCTGGCTGTGGGGTATGAAGGAGGGAGTTGGGGGCATGGCGGGGCCCTGGGGTGCTCCTTGGCAAGGGACAGTGTTCTCTGTGCAGAAGGCAGGAAGGATGGGGCTTGTCTTGGGCTGCCCTCCAGTTCAATGACAAATGCAGGAAAGCAACACCAAAGGGCATAAGCTTCATGACCCCTCCTCAGCACATGCACATCCCAGAACCATTCCATTCCTCTCCAGGCAGCAGCACGTTGACAGCCCACAGACGGAAGACACCAACAACGGCAATATTCAGTGTGAGTACTACCTCTTCCCTTGGGGGAAGCCACATGCTCCTCTCCCCATGAGAATCCTCTGCAAGCCCCCATGCAATCCCATCACTTCATTTTCCACTGGGACATACAAAATCCCTGCCCGTTCATCAAGGCCAGGTTTCTCTCCAGCACCTCACGTCCTGCTTCTTCCTTGCATGCAGAGCGTGGCTGCTGGCTGCACAAGGGACATGGCAGCATCCCAGTGCTCCCAGGGACAAAGCCCATTTGCCTGGGGGGCTCCTTCCACACTGGCTCCAGCCTCACGCTGCAATTCCCCTCCTCCAGCCAACACTTTTCTCTCTTCTTATATTTTCCATCACAAGGATTTCTTTTTTACAAGAGCAGCCCAAAGCACAGCGCAGCAATGAAGGATGTGGCTCTGTTTCCTTGCACTGCTGGGGAAAATATCTTATAGCTTGCTCTGAAACCACAGCCAGCAGCCAAGGGAGGATGTTGTGGTTGGGCGACAGGCTATAGATATATCTTCACCCTACATGTACTGTGCTTGAGTTGCAGCACCACCTTGTTTACCCACGCCTGCACAGAGCAGCTCGCAAGGTGTGCTGGCTGTGCAGAGAGAGGAGATGCCACAGAAAGCTGGAAACACACCAAAGCCTCAACATCTCTGCTCCATCACTGCTTAATGGATGTCCCAGATCAGGATGATGGGAGGGGAAATGTGGCTGGGCATTGAGTGCTGACTACAAGCAGCTGATGACCAAGGTTAGTGCGAGTTGTTTTGCACCTCTGTGAGGGCATGTTTAAGACAAGGAAAAAAAAAAAAAAACACTGCACCACACAGCAGCTGGAAGAATGAAAGGAGTGAGGAACAGCCTTGCAGGCACCAACATCAGTGAGGAGGGACGGGGAGAGGTGCCCCAGGCGCTGGAGCAGAAGTCCCCTGTGGCCTGTTGTGAGGACCATGGTGAAGCAGGATGTCCCCCTGCAGCCCATGGAGTACCACGGTGGAGCAGGGTTCCACGCTGCAGCCCGTGGAGGAGACCACGGTGGAGCAGGTGGCCCTGCACCAACAGGGGCTGCCGCCTGTGGAAGACCCCTGCCGGAACAGATTCCAGGTTGGACCTGTAGCCCGTGGAGAGGAGCCCACGCAGGAGCAGGTGACCTGGCAGGAGCTGCTTCCCCTAGGGGAGCCAGGTTGGAGCAGTTTGCTCCTGAGGGATGGACCCCATGATATGGATCCATATCCTGAGCAGTTCTTGAAGAGCTGCTGCCTGTGGGCAGCCCATGCTGGATCAGTTCACCAAGGACTGCATCCCGTGGGAGGGACCCCACAGCACAGGGGACAAGAATGACAGAGGAGTGGCAGAGAAGAAGCGCTGTAGACTGACCATAACCCCCATTCCCACGTTCCCCTGCACCACACGGGGGGGAGGAGGTGGAAGAGGGTGGAGGGGGGGAAGGTTCTTTTAGTTTCTTTCCTTTGTTTCTCACTTCTCTAGCTTGCTAATAATAGGTAATAAATTGTACTATCTCCCTATGCTGAGCTTGTTCTGCCCTCCACGATAATTACTGTGCCATATCCTCAAACTAATCTCAACACTTGAGACCTTTTCATCGTTTTGTCTCCCCATTCCTCTTCAGAAGGAGTAGGGAGAGAGCAGTTGTGGTGGAGCTCAGCTGCCCACCCAAGTAAAACCACCACAGATGTGCTCACATGTGTGCCAATTGGTGTGTGCACTGCACATGTGGTTTTCCTGAAATGACAAATAAACCTCTCTGACTTTGTGTCAATCTGAAGGGATGTAAAGAGCCTTGCAGACAGACCTTGCCGAGAAGAACTACACCAGCACCTTCCTGTTTGGGGTGGCTTTATTCAGAGCTCGCAGATCAGCACAGCTTTCCCCAGTGCTGTCTGCCTCTCTCAGAGAACCAGCAGCATCGCCTCTCACTTGCTCAGCTTTTGGCATGCAGTGGGTGTTGAGAGCAGTTGGATTGAGAGAGCTGCAAAACACAAGGGAGAACAAGGAGTGGCCTTGCTCTCATGGTGCCCACCATGGGGAAATGCTGGGAGAATGGAAGGATGGGGATTCAGCCAGAGCACAGCCACGCAAAGATCCCAGGTTCCTGCCATCAGATGCACTTTTGGCTTGCATTTGCTCTCCAACAGCCTGCCCTCTCGCAACCATCACGTGCACGCTCAGCCTGCAAGGCTGTGCTTGGTCTGAACTCACCTTCACTCTGCCCATCTCATCCACGTTGGCATCTGGAGGGAGAACCTGAGTTAGTGTCCAGCCACACACAGCAGGTAGGGCTTCCCCATTCCCCACCACTGTTGCCCCCATGGTTACGGCTTGCCATGCAAAGGCATCAGCACTTCGCACAGTACCTGGAGGAGAAGGGTGAAGAAGGGACTGGCACTTACAGAAATGGCTGGGGTCAGCAGAAGAGTCTTGAGCACTACCAGCACCATGGAGACGCACAGAGAGAGGAGGGAAAAAATGTCCTGAAGGTCTGCAGCACCACTGCCACAAAGAAGCACAGGGCCATTTGGGCCATTCCCATGGATGATGCTATAATCCTTCCAGGATTCAGCTGAAGTCCACACCACTGCAAGCCACTTCTCCCATACCTGCAGCACAGGGAACGCAGTCACAAAAAAGGACAAATCTGGCCCTAGCCATGCAGCACCCCAGGGCCCTGCCATGCCCCCAATTCCCTCCTGCAAACCCCACAGCCAGCAGCCCTTGGTGCTCACCTTGGGCATCTCCCTCTGCAGACACCTGCAAGAAGAACAGGGGCTGAGGTGCGCAGGCCAAGGTGCTGCCCAGCCCTGGCTCCCATCTCGGGGCTGGGGGATGAAGGCTGAAGCTCCCCAGCTCCCTCAGCAGCCTCCCCAGCTGGGCTGCCCACAGCCATCGCCCCCAGGCACCGTCTGCCCCAGCTGTGCACCCCCAGGTTCCCCCCACCACCTTTCCCACTGCACCAGCCCCGCAGCAGGACCCCCACAGACTCATCCTTCCCCCCCTGCCTTCCCCCACTCCCTCACCTTTCCTGATGATGCCCCAGCAGGACCCCACACCTCAGCCTTCCCCTCCCTTCCCCTACTCCCTCACCTTTCCTGATGGCAAACCAGCTGCCTGCAGACAGGAGGACGAGGCCGACGGCCGCCACTGCCAGCACCTGGCTGTGGGGAGGGTGTGGGGATCCGGCATGTGGAGCTGGGGAAGAGAGGTGTGAGGGCAGCGGGGTGTGATGGGGAGAGGCAGGGAGCAGGACGTGCCCGTGCAGCTGGCACAGCTCCTGCCTGGTAAAGCTCCTGCTTGTCCCCATGCCCTGGGGAAGGCAGCACAGCACGCCCACTCCCCATGCTTGGGTTTCTGAGGGTGTAGGAGGGAATCACTCACCTGGGGGTGATGGACTTGCTGGGGAACTCACCACATTGCCTGGCAGGACAAAAGGACAGGCTTAGTGTCTACAGTGCACCAGATCCTTCCCAGAATGAGCCTCAGCCCCATGGCCACATCCCTCCACCGACAGCCAGCACCATCCCCAGGGAAGAATAAAATGCCCGTGGCTGTTGTGCAACATGGGCCCCCATGGATCTGCTGTCTAAATTCCCTCGTGAGTGGTTAAGTATAGCTTGGCCAAGGTGTGCCTGCCGATTAAATATGGCACCACCACTCTCATCTGTCTGTGATTCTGGGGGCTAGAGGATCACACAATCACAGAATGGCCAAGGTTGGAAGGGACCTCTGAAAGTCATGGAGTCCAGCCTTCTGCTGAGCAGGATCAGCTAGGACAGACTGCACAGAATGGCATCCAGGTGGATTTGGAATATCTCAGAGGAGACTCCACAGCATCTCTGGGCAGCCTGTTCCAGTGCTCTGTCACCCTCCCAGTAAAGAAATGCCCCTCATATTCAGATGGAACTTTCTGTGCTCCATTTGGCCCTTGCCTCTCGCCCTTTCCCTGGCACAACTGAAAAGAGACCAGCTCCATCCTCTCAACACCCTCCCCTCAGATATTTATAGACATGGATGAGGTCTCCCCTCAGTCTCCTCTTTTCCAGGTTAAACAGGCTCAGTGCTCTTGGCTCTGGTCCTCTGATCATCTTTGCAGCCCTCCTCTGGACTCTCTCCAGTAGTTCTATGCCCCTCTTGTACAGGGAATCCCAGAACTGGACACAAAATGCTTTGTGTTCCATGCAGGGAATGATTCCTTCCCAGGAGCTCCCCCAGAGAACAAATTCCCTCTCCCTTGCCATCACCACCCCACACACACCTCTCTTCAGTCACCCATCCCCACGCTCAACCTCACCTGGGGAGCTGCCGATGTCCTGGGTGGTCACGCCAGCACCTGCACCTTGGGGCACAGAGGGTTTTGTTTAGAGGGAGTGAGAGCTGGGGCACCCACACGCTTGTGCCCAT